GATAAATTACTACATGAAGCACGTTAAAAATGTGTCTTTTTTCATTATCAGATGCAGTATTGATGACCTATACTGAACTGTTACCGTATCCTTAGTGACGCATCGTTTATGTGGTTCTAATTTATGCTACTTACTGGCTGAAATATGTGAAGCTGCAGTATGTTCACTGAATTGTCTATCTGACACAAAAAGTTAATAGACTTCCACTTTATATTTACTAAATACAGAAGCAAAATTATGGAGAAATAAAGAGCAGAGTCAAACAGTATGACCCTGGCAGCTTGTATTGGCCCTAACCGTCGTAGTAATCAGTTCTAAATACAGTTCAGAGTTTCTTCAGAGTCTGTTTCTATTTTAGTCAGGTAGTTGGTTAGATAAATTAAACCTCACTAAATTTAGAAACCGTCATCTTTACTCTAAAGAGCTGTGTGAACAGAAATGCTGTTACAGCTCTGCTGAAACTTCACGTCCCAACAGCTGGTTTTTATCTGTTGCTGGTGGATATTAAGCACCGTAGAAACGAGGGAAACAAGCTATTTAGAGGTTGAAGATTTTGGTTTTGTTTGAAGGGTATTTGAGCATGTCATTATACTGATATGAATGTACCATTTACCAATAATGATAACAATATCAGACATGAGAACTAAAGGCTGAGAAACACAGGAAATGGAGAACAGGACATGAGATATAACAACCGCTCAAATGGGGACATTGTGGTTTATGAAGTACACCCATCTTTGCGCCCAGGCTACAACTTTAACACCGAAAGAAAAGAAAATACCCGCACACATACAAAAGGGTTTGTCTTTTTTCAGAGAGGATTGGGTTTAGTTTCTGAAAAGCCTGCATAAACAAGCCAGTCCAAGACAAAAACTGAAGTCAATTCACAAACAGCAGAATTACCGCCTTGTCAACTAGTCAAGTTGCATTTCACCATCTGTGGAGACTTCAACCTTTGGATATAAAATGTCTTTGTTTCACATTATGTCATGATTAGCATATCACCAAAAACAATACTTGCGGTACCATTCAATATCAAAATTCCAAGAATTTGTTTGCTACTTTAAATGCCGATACACCAGTAATTCTTGAAATCAGGTGGGTAGCATACAGGTACAAGTATTTTAGGCTATCCTTACATACTTAAGAACTAGGAAGCCCTAAATATCTGGTATTGTGACAGGTCTAATTTTAATTTGTCAAGTTAGCTAATTTTATGTGTTTATTTTTTCCAGACGCTGCACTGATCTTGACCTGTGAACATGAAGTCAATAAAAGTTGATTCTGACTTCACGAACATGGGCCAGATTTCAGGTCACTATGTTCATGAACCTTTTAACCGCTGTACCCAACTAAAACAAGCTGTTGCGTCATGTAGCTGCAACAGGCTGAGGGGAATTGGGTCCCCTTAGTTATCATTGGTCTTTCAAGTCACCATAAAGAGCACAAAGGAAACAACTTTGTTAGAAGAGAAACACACAACAAGGACTTCTAATTTTACTCTAACTAATGAACATAGAGGGACAATCTAATGAACATTTACCTAATTTATGTTCACTTTTTGAGCTCGTCTGCAGGTCTACTATAACATAAGTCATTGCCATGCAGAGTCATAAATATCAAGGTTTGACCTACATAAATGTATATATATTTGGCACCCACCAAGGAAGTTTTACCCGGAGCCACAGGAAATGTATTTTTTTTACTTGTTTTGTTAACTGTGCTATTATTATTTCACACATAACACTGTTAAACGGTCAGAAATAGTATGAAAATGCACAGCTAACTAGGCAAAGTTAACCGCCAAAGGCCTGTGTGGAGCCTTGAATATGTAGGTTTAGCTTGAAAATCTCATGAGTTAACTACCAGCATATCCCCTGCTGATCGTACAGTGCATCTAAAGCTGGTCTTTAAACCCAAACATATTTAATTAACACCACAGTCTCCACAGTGAAATGGAAATGACCCGCCCTTTGTTTCTGAGAGCTACCACAACATCTGTATGATTATTTAGCGAATCACCGCCGAGGAACTGAATTAACCTAATGGTGTCAGGAAGTCATGTCACAGTTGATGAGAATTAGCACCTCCTTAACAAGTGTGCCGACAGACCGCAGCTCTAACAAGGCAGGTAATAGGCAGGGGACAAACTGAAGCAAGTCAAATGAAGCAGACAAGGAAGCACTGATGTAGTGATGGCGTTCAGCTATAACACACGCAAAAGCCATAAAAAATAGAGGAAGAAAGAGACATTTTGGCAAATAACAAACTCAGCCAAAATCACCCAACACACGCCTGCATGCACTCAGAGAAATGAAGGGACACACAAGCTCATTAATCCTCTCAACCTATTGTTGTCACTGAAGCATAATCCTGAAGTCGATGACTAGCTTAATCTACAGCAAGTCATGTGACTCTAGTTACACAAACTCTAATCATCTCACACTTGCACACAAACAACCAGCAACCGAACCAGCAGCAATTTTTGTTTCATCCAATGAGAAACGATCTACACATCTTTAAAGCCACATTTTGGGCACATTTTAGCTGTTACTTTCAATATCACAGCAATTAAATGTGACGTTTTAGGATTCTGTCATACCAGGCTGGAGAGACTGGTCAGCAACCTGCTGGCAAGCACATATCATTGGAGGAAAAATGTGCATTGCCCCCATCGGTTGGCAAGTGCTTGCTGGCTGGCACTGAATTGAATCGGTCAAAAAGACATTGCTGCAGCAAAGATGTCCTTATGATTGGTGTGGTCTCCTGTACTTTACATGGAAAACGCCGAGTTAACCTCGCACACTCCACATTTACTCTTCAAGAGTAAATGAAGTTGCTGAGTGTTTACGCGCAACCCTGCGCTTTCCATTGGTGACGTTGGCAATTTTCACCTAGCCAGCAGCCTGTAACCACTCACCACCTGGTCAGGGAATACATATTTTTCCCTAGTAACCTTTGGTTGTGTCTTTCAGGAAATAAATGAAAAATGTTTTTCATAAGTTTATTTATGTAATAAACTGCAAATTTTTCTCACTATATGTCTATATAAACATATATATGTCTGTATGTACCCTCGTTCCTCCTTAGCTAGCATATACCAATCACGTATACGGCAGTTTTTAACATCTATGTTTTTTTCCCTAAATTTATTACAGATATCAATTGTTTAAATTTGTCTGTATGCATTTGTTTCATGTGCCACATTCCGTGCGCAGCATCCAAATACGTAACGTTCACAAAAAACTTTTGTTTGACTTACCACTGAAAATGAAAATTTTTAAAATGTGCTGCAGGTTTTTGCTAGTATAGAATATGTATGCAGATAGGTTTATGACTTAAGAATGGATGCTCTGGTGAGAAGTAATTCAAGTATTTTGGAATAATTCTTAGTTCGTTTTCTCTAAAAAAAAAATATATGTATACGTAAATGACACAAGTAATTTAATTTTCTTTTTTTCATTGCTTTTAAGCTTTTGTCTTGTGTTTTATAGGTTATATACCCTTCGGTATGATTTAACCGTACCTTGTACTTTCAATTGTTTAATTTTTTTTTTAATCCAATCATCTAAACTGGATGATGCATGTGAAAAAACAGGAAAATATTTTGCAGATTAACAGACTTTTTTGCTTTTATTTCAGTATATTTTCATTTGAGTTTTTATTAATTTTAATGTTAGTTTTTGTATGGAGGGCATATGTCAGAGACAGGACTATTCCTCCATTATACCTCTTTATTTTTTAGTTCAGTTCTTTTCCAAATAAGTTTTAATTTTTTTTTTCAAAACACTACTTATTATTTTTATTTTGGTTATCTACGTTCTAGTCTTGCTGATAACGCTAAACAAAACACACACACACACACACACATATGTTAGTGTATATAAGTGTCGAGTGAGATCAGCCAATCAATACTAGACTGTTATCCAATCCTATTGTCTGCAACAGAAACAAATGAGGCATTATGGGATGCCATTCCCATGACGACAGGGATAGCAGGTATCCTGTGTCTTCTATTGATCTGAGTGTGTTTTACAGCTGCAGGTCAATACAGGTAATGGATAATGATTTACACACACACGCACGCACGCACACACTCATACAGAATAATAATTTGCACATTAATCACTCTGTTGATAATGATGCATTTCTCTTTATTGCTATTAGCTCATCAATAACTAACGACACACACTTCTGTGTATGTGTTTAAATGCCAGTAACAGGATACTATCAAGCCATCAATATCTTACTGTAAGAGTGAGTCCAGAGGCCAATAACATCTACCAGAAGTCCAGTAAGAAAGGGAGCTCTTACTGCTGTCATTGATTTGAACACTGCTCATGAGCACAGTGGCGGTAAGAGAGGAAAATGACGCAGGCAGGAAACAGACCAGGCGTTAGAAGGAAGTTAGCTGACCTCAGAGGAGAGGTCGGATGAGAGGTCTGATTTAACGGTTGATAAAGTTGCGACAGAGACAGTCACACAGAGAAAAGGCTGCTAAAGATGCAAGGTAGCGGTTAACGTCCCTTCACATACATTTGATTATCATATGCGAGGCCTCCGAGAAAGGCAAGGGTCCTTCATACACACATGCACATGCCCACATTTCAGTGATAAGTCTAAACTTTGTGCAGGTTCTTCAATAAGTAAGCAGCTCAAATGTTTAATCAGGGTTATCAACATGGCCCTGATCGGAAATTCCATGATTTTTCCATGAATGTTCTCTAACTGAAGAGCGCCTGCCTGAATCCAAAAATATTACCGCACTCTGGTTCGCTAATGATGATTTTTACCTCAGAGGAGTCAGGTCGAGAATGGATAAAGTTCAGAAAAGCTCTTAAAAGCACTGCAACGTGTCGAGAAAGGTTAAAAAAAAAGCAGCTGAATCCATCATCTATGATACAGATTCACTAATATTACCTCATTTCTTTCTGTGTCAAAAACAAGCTCTTCTACCTGCTATAATCCCACCTACACACACATACACCATTTCCTCCTACCTTGGCCCTTATCTGTCCCGAGGTCGAAACTTTGCGGATCAGCTTGTGTGACGTCTCTTCTTGTTCTCCATCGCTGTCTGATGACTCTTCACCTGCTTCACCGGGCTGCAAGAAGAGGAGACAAAATCACCGAAAATGAATGTGAGATCAGGAGCCGTAAAATGTCCTCATTTCAAACTGTAGTGGAAGCGTTCAGCCACTGATTCAGCAGTTTGGCTGATGGGCTTTTTACTCAGAGCAACATTTTATGGTAAACTTACATAAAATCCCACCGTCACCTACACAGAAAAAGTAAAAATGGACCGATAGTACAAATTTTTGGTATCGACCAAGTAATCACCTAATCATAGAAACTCAGGTAGCTCTTACAGCTCTTTAAAAAAAATAAAGCAATATTAATTTTATAGGAGTTAAAAAAACTTAAAAAAAATGCTGCTCCAATGATTCAGGGTTTTTTTTAGCATGAATATTTTCAAAATAAAAGACACTAACTGTAAAAGATGTACCTAGACTACATAAGTGCACTTTAGGCACTCGCTGATCTGAATATTTGCATATACAACAGAAAATGTCAGCATAGGCACGAGATTTTTTTGGGTACCGGAAGGTTTCTGGTTTGTAGCCTGAGTGCTACTGACCAATCACATTTGAGCAGGATGTAGCTGCAGGCGAGTAAGCTGCCTGTGGTGAACAAAAGAGGTTCTGCATTCACTGAAACGCAACGTAAAAAAAACAAACAAAGATGACTGAGCTTTACGTGTACGCACCATCGTGGAGCGAGTAGTTTTAACTTCTTAAACAAAGCCACCACCCCAAAAAAACAAGAACGTCACCTCCTCCTCCCCAGTGGGAAATCTGAGCCTGCTGCAAAGCTTTTCCCGAGTCAAGAAGTCAGGGATGTCAAATTCAGTACATGTCGCTGATACTCTATAAATGTGTGGGAAAAATGATAAAGTGAGGTCGTCGAGGCGGATGGATGTAGTCGTTTTCTTTCAGCTGCTCCGTTTAGGGTCTTCTCTGTCACACTAACCCTCCGTGTGTTCTCCTTCACTACATCCTCTGAGATCTTCCTCTTCTCCTCCTGCCTGAAAGCTCCATCTTCAGCACCCTTTGTCCACTATATTCTCTATCCTGCACATGTCCCTCTGATGTATTCATTTCTAATCCTGTCTTTGGTCATCAAAAACACAGTTTAACGGCTACATTTTCTTACTTTGTGTTCCCATTCACACATTTCCCGAATCTTTCTCAGAGTTTATCCACACTGATCCCTGCAGAGTGGACATCTCCCCGTGGCTGCTTCCTTCCAGGGTAACTTTGTCACATATAGTGAAGGTTTATACTCGCTGCTCAAAGGGGCTGTTAATAATTCCTGTATTTAAAGGCTGCTCCATGCAGATGAGGTATCTCGTTTAAAAGCACGTGTCTTCTTTCACCTGCAGGTCGAGATTAGTCAAGGCTTTTGTTATCTCGACACGACCCGAGGTAAAAGACTCTCGCTAAGGGATTGTATTACTTATAAATTAGGGCGTGTAAGTTGACTAGTCCCATTGTTAAAAGTGTAGAGTTGTTGTTTTTTTGTATTTTTACCCCTTCTGAAAGGGAAAGGAAAAGAAAGTGGAAGCAAAACCTGTTGAGGAGCCCCACCTATACTTTCACAATCTCTCTCTCTTTCTCTTTTTTTTTCCAATTTTAGCTTTAAGTGTGAAGAAGAAGTGGACTGTACTCACAATATGAGTCCTTTCAGAGTCTTGCGGTGATCCCAGCGACTCTCCAGCCCCCGCCACGTACAGGACGTTGGGGTTCAGTTTGGACGCCATCACGAATTTACAGAGAAAGGAGAGGAGAAGGAGTAGGAGGGCGAGGATAACAAAGAAGAAACAGAGACACGGGTGTGAAAGGGGTGAGAGAGATGGGTGAAAAGTTGCAGAAGATGTGGAGGGGTGGGGGGATGAGAGAGGAGAGGAGGAAGGGAAGAAGGGTGGAGTTTGGCAGGTGAAAGCCGGGCTGAGAAGAGAGATGATGAGGAACGGGACAGCAGCGGCAGCAGCAGGATCTGGGACGCCACGCTCCTGCCGAACTCTATCCAGGGCCAACTCTGGAAAAGACGGAGAGATGAATTATTGATCAACAGAGAAAAGCTCGGGTTTTTTTGGCAGGGGGAGGTTGTCTCTCTCTTTTTTGCTGGAAGTTCCCAACATGTATAAACAAAGTGTGGCTTTCACAGCTGATTAATTTGCCTTCCTCCTTCCATGGCAGGCTTTCAGCTGACAGTGCTACAGACACAATGCACACGGCGCTTCTGTTTCTCGGTTCCTCTTTGGGTCTTCCTGTCTCCGAGCGTTAAACACTTTGAGGTTTACGGTGTTTTGGGGGTTTTTTAGGGCCCTTTTAGGCAAGTCACACAAAGTCAAACAATTATAATAATACATACAGCGATGATTGGGAGGTGGAGACAGAAACATGCTTCATCACCAGCCTCTGCGTATCTCACACACGTGTTTTGGCATGCAGCAGTGCCGGGAACACACACCCTTACAGTCAATATATATGTGTGTGTGTGTGTGTGTGTGTGTGTGTGTGTGTGTGTGTGTGTGTGTGTGTGTGCGTTTCCTTGATTACGACTTGGACAGATTATTCAAAAACCTGTCTGCGCATCTTTCACCTCTCTGCCGCCCCCGGTGACACCAAAAAACTTGCACACATAAGCGCTCAAAAACACACTTCAGCACAAACGCTGAAGAATGTGTGTGTGTGTTTGTGTGTGCGTGTGCGGGCTTTTCCTTTTGAAAAAGCCGATCAAACTGCGCTGCTGTGGCTCACATGTTTCAGAGAGCCGTACACGCAGACGGATGCACGCACAGCGGGCTTGCTGGAGCCGAGCGCAGACCATCCATCAGCCGTGTCTGTCCTCGCTGTTTACCGCGGGAGCTGTCGGCGGACACGCGACACAAAAACAGTCCGGTCCGTGTACAAGGACCGCGTGCATATCTATCAGCTGGGCTCAGCCTCAGCTCAAAACGTCCATCAGCGACCTGCGGCCAGCACCACCTCCTTTGCTTTGCACACACACAAAAACAAACACACACACACACATATATATATCTAACCCCCCTCCTGCGCCCTCCTGTTTTTATAAAATGTTTTTATTATTCACCTTCGCTGCTTGATTTCTCCTCCAGCGGAGCTTGATCAGGTGCGCTGTTTCTGCCCCGCTCCGGTTACCCTGTCTGGGTGGCTCGCCAGCCGGCGTCGGGGTGCTGCTGCGCGGGCGGCCGGCGGTCAGCAGCGGCAGGAGGAGCAGCAGGAGGAGGAGGTGGTGGTGGAGGAGGAGGAGAAGCAGCGGCGGCGTGCGGGTCTCTCCGGTGGTGCTCGCCTTGCAGAGAGAGCGGTCATACGCATAGCGTCGGAGCGGATCTGAATCAGGTAGCAAGAGGAGGAAGGGGAGGGAGGGAGCAGGGGGTGAGAGAGAGCGAGCGAGCGAGAGATTTAAAAGCGGCCGTGTTGAGACGCTTCAAATCGCCGTATCGGGGTTAAACTGAGAGCAAATAACGTGCACAAACACACACACGCATGCGCCTGCAAGCAGGAAAAACAGACCTGCTGAACATAAGCAGAGCTACGTTAATTAACACAGTGGACCTTTGAATGAGGGGGAAGACATCGTTTAATCAAAATCGTCCTGAGGTAAAGAAAAAACAAACACGCAATGAGCTTTTACTGATTGTGCATTAGCGCTTAACAATAAGTGTGTAATTACAGCGCTGCCAAGCGTTGATTTGAAAGGCAAAAGTCGATTAAAATGCCAACAATCCTTTGTTGTTGTTACGTGCACACGGTATACCGTTTCTCAGCCTGGGCTGACTTGGGCGCATGATGGACGTGGTTGGTTTATGGACACCTGTATGCAGCTGGAAAGCATGCTCAATCATCCAGGTAAGGAAATCTTAGAAAGTTCATTCTCTTCATTCATTTCTTCATTTTCAGTGGAAAAAACGTTTTGTCACTCATCTAAGTGACTTCTTCAAACAGTAGACGTCACATGGTGACCTTCAGTCACTTGGTTACTGAAGAAGTCCTCTTAAGAAGTTCAAGTGACTTCTTCACAACGCAAAGCAGAACCACCTTAACTGCATCTTTGACACATGTAGGAGCAGTGTTTCTAACTGTGCAATTTCTCCAGATGTGTCAGCTCCTCACCCGCTTTCAGAGGCTTAGAAAATTCGTCCAGTTGTATTCAGAACTCTTAAGGTCATTACCGAGATTTCATGACCTGAGGTGAGGGTCGGGACATAAAGCTACACCAGGAAAGTTCAGTACAGCATCTGCAATACTGCTGACGGTGCACCAATCCGTCAGTCATATTCTCACTCCACCTTTCCATCACTTGTGAGTGAGACCTCAAGATACATGAAGTCCCTTGCTTGAGGCATGCTATTTCTACCTATTTCTACGTACAAAGTAGGAGCATTCCACCATTCTGAATCTCATCCTAGCTATTTCACACTCAGCTGCAAAGTGCTCCAGTGCACACTCTGAAGATGCCAACAGCAACACATCATTTACAAAAAGCAGAAATGCTCCTTATCCTGGCCATGCCTTGAGATCCTGTCCATGAAAATCAAGGACAGGATTGGGACACCATGCTCCTACAGTATAGCCGTCAGGTGCCCCAGGGACCTTTGTAAGGCCGTAAGTCTTCTCCAAATCTACAAAACATATATAGTCTGGATAGTCAAACTCCTGTGATTCCACCAGCGGTCCTACAAGGGTGAAGATCTGGTTAACTGTTCCATGGCCAGGAAGGAATCCCTTTTGCTCCTCCTGAATCAAAGGTTCAACAGTCTTCCAGGGTCTCTTTTCCAGCACCTAAAATAAACTTTCCTTCGAAGGTTGTAATTGGAGCACACCCTGCAGTCCCCCTTTGTTAAAAGGGGAACCACCATACTGGTTTGCCTCTTTACAGGCACAGTCCCAGACCTGCATGCAACATAAAAGAGATATGTCAACCAAGACAGCTCCAGAATGTCCAGAGTCCTTAAGATTTAAGGGAAAATCTCACCTAAACCACCAGGGAGCTTTCCAATAACCCAGCAACATCTACAAGCAATAATGTAACTGGTGACACTTCCACCAAGTCCTAAGGCTCTGCCTCCTTTACAGTGGAAATTTTGGCTGGATAGGAGTTCCTCAAAGGCCAGAAGTTCTCCTACCCAACCAATTACTGAATTGCTGCTCACCAAAACTTCTTTGTGGCCTGCCAAAAGTCCTCCTCCACAGCCTTCCCGAACGCTTCTGTAGCTGCCCTTTTGGCCTTCCAATACCTGTCTGCTGCTTTAGTAGACCCCCGGCCCAACCGGTCCCATACATGAAAGGAGGCTTATGGAATTACACGAAAGCCCGGGTCATATTTAGGACCACTGTCTAAATGGTGTACAAGTTTACAGATATAGATTTAGTTTTCCTCCTTTTTACCCTACAGGTAGCATTTACCAATTCACTCACATGCATACAAAGCCTTTGTTTTTTTTTTGCACTTTTAAGTGTCACACACATTCTTACAGATGCATTTTGCAATGGAGTTTGAGCTTTACTATCCAACCCAACGGCAATCGAAATGTAGACCGAGGGATGTGAGGACTGCACCACCTGCTCTAGCTCTGCCTGACCTACAGCCACTGAGTGCCTCCTATGTGTATACATTTAATTGCCTTTGTTGGCTGACAGGCTGGGGTATCAAGCATTTTTGGACAGAATGGAGTACTTGCCAATGCCTGAGAAATCAAAGTCAAACAGAGTCATCCGTGGATTGAATAAATACACCTTCCACAATTGGAGTTAGAGGCTTTAAATGTTGCTCGCAGACAGCAAATAATCTCACCTCGTGTTCCATTTATCAGCCGCTCTGGAGCTTTCAGTCCTTTTACATGATCTCCAGCTTTCATTTGTTTGTGGAAACCTGTGCACGGCTTGAAAAATGAACGCTCTCTCTGTATACATATACATATATATTTTAATTTTAAATCCAGAACAAGCCATGACAAATCCCGAGGGCTCATAAAGCATAAGAAAAAAACCAGTGATTATTCTTTTCTTGCTTTCCTATACTGCTTTGCCTTTCACGCTTCTTCAAGTGAAACCAACCGAGAAAGGGGATAAAACACAGTTGAACTCCTCACAACTCATGCTGCACTAAATCTATAACCATGAGCCAAAAAATAATAACAATAATAATAATCCTTTAGACGAATAATGACGCAATTGAGAGCCGGTCCAGTCAAATCTTTTGCTTTTAATGTGTTTGCTTTTCACAGGAAGGGGGGTGCAAACGGACTGGTTTAAAAATGTAGTGGCACAGCATTCCTCTCGCACACAATAACGCATCTATTTCGCTCAAAGTGCTGCCCAGACATGCTCTCAAAAACTCGCCTCGCACTTAAGCGTCTGCGCTTCTGCTCTCTCAGATCTCGATCTGCTGACTGATTTGCGCTCAAATTTCAGCTCAGTCAATAAGGAGAGCCCACACCTAATGGAGAGCTGGAGCTCCATTTGAGAGATAGTGAGACACAGAGATCTGCATTAATAAGGTAGAGAGTCAGAGCGAGCGACACGTGCACACTAACACAGATACAAGGAGAGTGACAGGCAGACGTACACACACACACACACTGGCAGCACTCAGTGCAATAGTAATTTGTTTACAGTTGATTAAATATTCATGCTGAATTAGCGGTGAGCCTGCCAACAGTCACTTCATTTACGCCCCGTGTGTGTGTGTGTGTGTGTGTGTGTGTGTGCCCTCCTCAGCCTCAGCCTTCCTCCACCTGTAAATGTGTGTTTTTTTCTTGTTGTTGTTGTTTGTTGGCTTGAGAAAAAAAAGACAAGACACAAGCACAGGCATGCGCTCACACCTGATGAACTCCCCTGACGATCAGGTGATGTCCTTATTGTATTCGACTCTTTCCTCCAGTTGCCCTTGACAACAGTGAGAAAGAAGGAAGGGCGAAAGGATGGAGATGAGGGAGGGAGGAAGACGACCAAGGGCGAAAGAAATAAAACACATGTCAGCTGGGAGTATGGGACTTGTTTTTATAGTATTTCCATGAGGAATTGTTCTGGAGCTGGGGTTAGAGATGAACACTTCACTGTGGGACATATGCGGTGAGTATTTTATCGATCGATTAGTAGCATTGAGCCTGTAGGAAGCCTGAGACAGATGTGTTTTATCTGTTCCTCTGGCATGGCCAAAAAAATCAAGGTAACGGAGCCCTGCAGATATGGCATGAGCTGCCTGAGGTAATCAGATCAGCAGAGTCAGTGACCTCTTTTAAATCTCTCCTTAACAAATACTTTAATTGGAGAGCCTTTCCAGATTCATTTCTCTTTTAATTGATCTGTTTAAATGCTATCAGTAACAGTAGGAGGGAGGACCTTCATAGTGTGCAGTAAAAACCCAAGAATATTGCAGAAAGAACCCCAATGATCACAAAGTCCCCAGAAAGCAAGCACTTGGCAACTGTGGGGAAGAAGAAAACCATTTAAACATGGATCAGAAAATTGGGAAGCACATCTATTCTGTTTCAAAGAATAAAAGCTGTTTTCTTTTTCTCTTCTTTTGTCCAGAAAATTGTTTCAAATTCAGATATATCCAGTTCCCAGTGTGTTGAAGATTTGGCCACTAATTTACATTTCTACAGTTTATGGCTCTGTTCTAAGACCACGATCCCAAGGCTGTGATGTACAAAAATGGAAAGGTAAACAGCGGGAATACACTGCGCCTGGTGGCTTCCCAATTTAGCTGTGATGCAGCCACTAGAGCTGACTGCACCCACCCAAGACAATTCCCGCAATTCCGGTGTTGCAGAAGCATCCGATCACTTAAAGTAGCACTGCGTTCTATTATATCTACTAGAGCCATGTTAAACTGAACAGAGCAGATAAGAAGGGCAGACAGTCTGGCACAAGAACGGCATAGGGAACTATGAATTTTCAAAATAAAAGTGCTCAGCCAGACTAAACATTTAGCTTCTGAGATGATCCCTGAGTGATATGAAGGCATGGGAAGCTTTATGGAACAAGACTGCATCAACGATGCGGCGTCAAAGACATGCATTAATTGTATTCCCATGCTAAGGCAGCAGATCTGCAGTAATAACCCTGTACAGAACAGAGAAGACACCAATACCAATAGACCTAACAAACATGGAACTAGTTTGAAGGTGGGTTGCAAAGGTGCTTGCAAGAGAGAGACTTATGCACAGGCTAAAGCTGTTTAAGTTGCCCTATATATGCTGCTGTGATCACTTCGAGACCACCTTTGAAATGAGGACATCCAACAGAGATACGATAACCAAACGAGGAGCAAGTTTGACAGGAGTTCCTCTGGCGTAAATGATCAAACCAATGGAGAATCCCACAAACGGCACCGAAGAAAACATGGCTAAAACAGGTTGAAGATGACATCAGAGATCGCAGAATAAATCTCGACGAGGCCAGGACAATCGCCAACGATCGCCAT